ACTCGGTGGATCGGTTGAGCTCGACGCACACGGCCTCTTCGCCCGTGGTGCAGGCGTCGCCGATGCCGCCGCCGCTGCCGGCCAAGACGATGAATACGGCGGCGGCGACCGAGCTGGCGGTGCGCTTTGAAATCTTTGTCGTCAAGGTGCCGCTGCTGCTCGGCGTCAATGGGCTCCAGTTCCGCCGGGTGGCGGGCAACCCGTGGCAGTATCAGATGCTGGCCAAGCGGATCCTCCAGGAGCTCAAGCTGTGAGGGGGTCGTTGGCGAGCGAGCGAGCGACTCAGCCAGCCAGCGATGGCCACGCCACGAGGGCCTGGGCCCCTCGTCCTTGTCACCATCCCCGATCCTCGCCTTGCCCTCTCTACCACTTCTCGCCCTCGCCTGCTCCCTTTGTGTCCTTCCCACATTCTTCTATCCTGGGCATCTGCAATGGCATCACACCTTCACACGGCGTTGCTCGCTGCGGCGGGGGCCTGTCGGATGGCAGACCGACGAACGGACGGCCGAGTAGGGATTGGATGGCGGCTGGCTGGCGACGCCTACGGGGAGCGGTAGTTTGATCTGGCGAGGCCTGCTGCGATCTGCAGGCCGGCCTTTGCGCCGTCGATGATGGCCATGTTGGATTGGTGGCCCGCTTCTGCGATGCCCTGGCGGATGAGGGATTCCATTCCGGCCATGCCTTGCGGGGGCCGGGCGGTGGCGACAGGATCAGGGTGGGAGGAAGAGGAAGGAGCGGGTCAGCTGGCCGATGGCGGGACTGGCTTTGCCTCGCTGCGTGACTGCTGTCCACTCACCTGCGCAGCCGAGGATGACGACATCCGCTCCCCTGTCCGCGACGGCAGCAGCGCCGTGCTTGATGGTGCTCTCGACCTTTGCGCGGTCGCCCATCTTGAGTTCGACGACGCCGAGGCCGGTGGCGACGGTGCCGACGTATCGGTCCGAGACGCCGCCCAAGATGCGGCGCACGCCGGCGTCGACGTCGGGGACCATGTCTGCGCCCGTGGTGAGTACGCCGAAGCGTGTTCCGCACGAGAGGGCGTGGATGACGGAGGCCTCGAGGATATGCAGGCTTGGTTTTGTGGGGAGCGAGTGGCGGAGCATGGCGACGAGCGGGTGGTCCGAGAAGCACGCTACGACGTAGGCCGAGGATGGGTGCCGCGCCAGGTCGTTGGAGGGGGAGAGGGAAGTGAGATGCTTGAATGTTTCGGCGGCCGAGAGGATCGAGGTGGGGGCATCGTTGATCGATGCTGGCGCCGTGGGTGGGCCCGTGAGGAAGCGCAGCGATACGCCGGGTGGACAGAGGGGTTGCAGCGCCTCGGACAGCGCTTCCGTGATGACCTGGCGTGCGTGCGTGCGTGGAGTCGTGTGGTTCAGCGGGAAAGTAGTGCGGCGGTAGCAAGTGATGAGCATGGACGTGGTGAGAACGGGTGGCGTCGTCGAGAGGGACGGCTGCTGATGCTCACCTCGGAGGAATTGGGGTTGATGACGCAGATCTCGACCGTGTCGGCGGCCGCCGTGGCTGCTGGTTGTGATGCGTTGATCATGGTCATTTTCGGGCGTTGGGGATGTGGATGTGAATGTGAGGCTGGTGTTGTCGATGACGGTGGCCGAGACGAGGGTGGTGGCGAGGACGATGGAGGTAAGAGCAAACGGAGGACAGGTAGGCTAGGGGCGAGCGGCGAGCGTCGAGCGGCGTGGGCGAGCGAGAAGGACGTCCGGCCGGCCAAGCCATGCCAGCAGCTACCTCGCCGTGGACCCTGCAGCGAGCGCGCATCCTCGGCCGGCCCACGACGGCAACGGCAACTCGACCGAAGGCGGGGCCAGGCAGGCGCGGGGCAGGGCGGGGCAGGCAGTTGACACCTCGCTGACCCTAACCCTGACCCGGGCGAGAAAAGCACGGCGAGCCCGCCGCTTTTGCGTGCGGAATCCGGAACTTGGGACTCGACACGGGCGTGGCCGGGAGGTGGGCCCAGCCAGAGAAAAAATCCCGAAATTCCAAAAGGCGGGCGGGCGGGCGAGGCTTGAGAAGAAACCAACGCAACCCGGCGGCGGTGCTGCTGGTGCTGGTGGTGCTGCTGGTGCTGCTGCCGCTGCCGCCGTTGGGGGCATTGGTCAGCCAGCAGCGGCCACCACCACCACCACCTCCTTCTCGCCCTCGTCCTCAATCAATTGCACGCAGCAGCAACAGCAGCAGCGAGTGCTTCGGACCATCTCATCCCCCACCGTCGCGCGAGCATCTACCCCAAGCTCGAGCCGTTGTCGCCGCAGCGCATCCTCGCATCCTTTCGTCCTCGACACCCTTCCGCGCAGCACCGGTCAGATCCCCTCTTCTTCCCACTCGCCCCGCCTCCCGCCACCGCACTGACCCTATCAGGCCACAACCCACATCCTCGCCATCATGCTCGCCTCGACACGGGTCGCCTCGATGAGGCAGCTGGCCCGCTTCCCCTCGGCCGCCGCACCCGCCCGCCACCTCTCCTCCACCGCCGCAGCCTACGCTTCCACCTCGGCATCGACCTCGACCTCGCCAGCACCATGCCTGCGCACCAGCACACCAGCATCGAGACCAGCGCGGACAGCAACGACGACGACGACACAGGCGCTGCGCCGCGGTCGCGCCTCTCTCCTCACCGAGCAGCAGCAGCAGCAGCAGCAGCAGAGGCTCCACTCGCGCCGCTCGTTTGCCACCTCGGCGCTGGCCTCGGCCACGGCGCCGCCACCCCACGACGCCGCCGCCCAGGCCGCCCACGACGGCTCAAAGTCGCCCATGGCGCCCCTCACCGACGCCGACCGCGCCCGCCTGGTCCGCCAGCGCAACGTCGGCATCTCGGCCCACATCGACAGCGGAAAGACGACCCTCACCGAGCGCGTCCTCTTCTACACCGGCCGCATCAAGGACATCCACGAGGTGCGCGGCCGCGACTCGGTCGGCGCAAAGATGGACCACATGGAGCTCGAGCGCGAAAAGGGCATCACCATCCAGTCGGCCGCCACCTACTGCTCCTGGAAGGCCACCCCGCCCACCGAGACCAGCACCCTGGTCGGCGACGCCGCCGACGCCGCCAACACCGACGTCCAGAGCAAGAAGGAGGACTTCCACATCAACATCATCGACACGCCCGGACACGTCGACTTCACCATCGAGGTCGAGCGCGCCCTCCGCGTCCTCGACGGCGCCGTCCTGGTCCTCTGCGCCGTGTCGGGCGTCCAGTCGCAGACCATCACCGTCGACCGCCAGATGCGCCGCTACTCGGTGCCCCGCCTCAGCTTCATCAACAAGATGGACCGCGCCGGCGCCAACCCGTGGCGCGTCATCCAACAGATCCGCACCAAGCTCAAGATGCCCGCCGCCGCCGTCCAGCTGCCCATGGGCGCCGAGGACGACTTTGAGGGCGTCATCGACCTGGTCCGCTGGAAGGCCGTCTACAACCGCGGCCACAAGGGCATCGAGGTGGTCGAGTCCGACGACATCCCCGCAGCCTACCTCGAGCAGGCCAAGCAGAAGCGCGCCGAGCTCATCGAGCAGCTCGCCGAGGTCGACGACGAGATGACGGAAATCTTCCTCGAGGAGCGCGAGCCCACCCTCGACGAGCTGGCCGCCGCCATCCGCCGCGCCACCATCGCCTGCCAGTTCTCGCCCGTCTTTATGGGCTCGGCCATCAAGAACAAGAGCGTCCAGGCGCTCCTCGACGGCGTCTGCGCCTACCTGCCCAACCCGGCCGAGGTGCCCGCGACCGCCCTCGACATGAGCGCCGCCGCCACGCGAAAGGCGGC